AGCTGTTCTGCAGGAGAAAGATGAGGCTTTCTGCTCCCGTAAAGATTTACAGCCTCGGAAACCCTGTACAGGGTCGCTATGAGTCAGAACCAACTCCACAGCACATCACAACAACAACAAGTGGCAACCTGCTTCAGCAAAGACTCACAGCATTGGATACCCCTCAGGGCAGCTTGTACCCTGCTGAGTCAGAAACTACCCAGCAGTTGTGCTGTTTGGTAACGTCTCCTGAGAACCACTAGAGGGTACTCTTACCCTTAGATTTTTTTCCAGCTGCTGATTCATTTGATCTGGATACTTGATCTCTAGGATCCAATACTTGTGCAAGAGGTTGGGTTGGTTTAGATGGTCACAGATTTTGATATAAGTGGGTGGGGCTTGACTTTTCCTATGGTGAAGGTGGGAGGCTTTCTGTGTCTTTTCTTCATGGTGCCCCCGCACAGCACAGACTCTCCCAGGTATCCCATTGTGGGCAGATACCTACCCTTTCCATGCTGCCTTTTCATCTGAAGCATTCCCGTCACTCTGCTGCCATTGCACTTCCTTCTGGTCCTAGCACCTGCCCATTTGGCGCTACTTGAGATTCAACAGCACTCTCTTACAGTGCCACTGTCTCCCTTCTCCCTCCGGCCTACAAAGCTCCGTGGTTAATCTGTACCACCATACAAAACCAGGCTCCCTTTCTGTGTTCCCTGTTTGGAGTGTTGCCCAGTACTGTCACAAAATGGTTGTGACAAGTGTGAGTGCTCCATATAAGGAGAATGTTCTTCTAGCTTCCATGCCATATCTGCTCCTCCTCAACCCCTGCGTCTGAACTCAGCCCAACTCTCCAGTACCTTAGCTGCTATTCAGAGTACTGAGGTGTCAGTCTGTGCTTGTTTTTATTTGTTGTTCACTGGGTTAGTTGTTAGACATCTTGCTGTCCCCTACTAGGATGCCTTCTAAAGTTACTGTTCCTTCTGCATTTTCACCAGCAATAAGTGGTGGTTCCTGCTTCTCCACATCATGTCAGCATTTGGTGGTGGTAGTGGCATCTCATTATTGTTTTGATGTACAGTTCTCTAATAGCGTGATCTCCAGCATTTTTCATACGCTTGTTTGATATCTTGAGATCTTCTTTGTTGAAGTGACTGTTCAGATCTTTTGTCCATTTTGTCTACTTATTGAAGTTTTATAAATCTTGGGTTACAAGTCTTTTTATTATCAGATAATGTGTTTTGCAAATATTTTTTACCCAGTAGTGTGGAGCGTGTTACATTCTCTTAGCAGTGTCTTTTAGTGAAGTCCTCATCATTTTTTCTCTTGTAGATTGTGTTTTTGATACATTTATGTTTTTTATATGTCTATAAGCTCAGAGTCAATTAGATTTTCTCTTATATTGTCTTTTAGAAGTTATATAATTTTGTGTTTTACATTGGGTTTGTGTTCCATTCTGAGTTAAGTTTGTGTGTGTGTGAAAGATGTAAGTTCTGTGCCTTGGTTCATTTTTTTGCATTTGGATGTACATCTGTTCCAGTACCATTTGTTGAAAAAAATTAATCCATTCTCAATTAAATTTCCTTGTCAAACATTTAGCTGACTGTATTTGTATGAGTATTTCTGAGCTTTTTGTTTTGTACAGTTGACCTGTTTGTTTCTTTTCCAGTAATAGGCTGGCATGATCGCTGTAGCTTTATAGTAAGTCTGGAAGCCAAGTAGTGTCAGTCCTCTGACCCTATGTATGTAATTTTACTATGTACGTCCTCTGACCCTGACCAGGTAATTTTGTATGTAAGTTGGAGGCAGCATGTCTCTTAACTGTTAACTACTTCAGTATGCAAGGTGGCTTCAAAAAGTTGATGGAAAAATGTAATTAAAAGATAACGGAATTTCTCCACAAACTTTCTGAAGCCCACTCATACTTTCTTAGTGTAAGAACCTTGTCTTAGATAGCTACAGTGTACATCTCAGGAAAGTTAGCATTGAAGTAATACTGTCATGTAACCTTCAGTCCGTATTCTAAATTCATCAGTTTTACTAGTGCCTTTTGTAGCTCTTTTAAAACTCTTTGTGGAGGATTCAATACAGGATCTCACACTGCGTTTAGTTGTTATGCCTCTTTATTCTCCTTTAATCTGGAACAGGTCTTTCATTGCCTTGGACGTGTTTGAAGAATATTTGGTAGTGATTTTTGCAGAATGTCCCTCAGTCTGGGTTTACCCATTTCCTCCTTATGAGATTCAGGGTAGTGTGAAGAATACCATAGGTGTGATGTCTTTTTCAGTGCAGCATATCAGGGAGGTACATGCCCAGCAATAGACCTTTGTTAGGTAGGAGATTACCTGGGGATGGGGAGAAGATAAAAATAATATGAACGTTTTTAGGTAACTTGAGCACTTAAGATTTCAGAGAAAGAGAGAAATCATTGTAGAGGTGGATTTTATTTTGCTAAATCAGTGGGGGAGAAAATACTTAAATTCATACTGTAAATGTACATGTAAATGTAAACTCGATTTTTATTGTCTTTCCCACTGACCGTTTTAGAATAGAGCATTTGGAGTCAGAAGACCTGGCCAAATTTCCTGAGGTGGTATTTGGGTTCTTGGCTCCGGCCATGATTGTCATCAGCACGCCAAACTCTGAATTCAATCCCCTGTTTCCAGCAGTGACTTTAAGAGATTCCGATCACAAATTCGAGTGGAACAGAGTAGAGTTTCAGACCTGGTGAGCTTACTTATTTGCATGTGACTCCTGTTGGCATTTAAAATCTTACAAAGTCAATCTTGATGTATATTCATTACCTAAATTGTTTCTTTTAAAATTTACTTCAATAAAATTGATTCCCCAAGTGCCACTTGGCTTGAAATTTTTCTTTATTCTATGGTTTGCTCTGTGCTTAGATCACAAAAGAACTTTCATGTGTGAGCAGACTAGAAATGGGAGATGTGTTCCCATAAAGTCAATTCTCAAAGGGGCCCTGATGGTGCAGTGGGTGAAGTGTTGAGCTGGCTGCAAACCGCAAGGCTGACAGTTCAAGCCCACCAGCCGCTCTGTTGGAGAAAGATGAGGCTGTGTGCTCCTGTAAAGATCTACAGTCTCAGAAACCCAAAGGAGCAGTTCTGCTTTGTCCCAAAGGGTCACTATGAGTCAAAATTGGCGTGATGGCCATGAGTTTGGTTTTAGGGTTGGTTAGGCATTGTGAAAAATGGGTGTGTAAAACACCAAACTAAAATAAAAACAACAGAAAACGGGTGTATCAAACACCAAACTAAAAACAACAACAAAAAATGGATGTGTGGGCACCTGCTACATTTTACATGTAAACATCTGGATGTTGACATGGACACAGGAAACAAAGCAAGCAAGGGGCAGAGCTGTAAGGAGGAGCTTCATGCCTTTGTCCAGCGGTTTTTACAGGGTGAGCCAGATGGTCGAGTTTTTTATTCTAAACCCAAAATAATGTGCTTTTAGTGGTCACTACCCTTTGGGTTTCCTTTTCCATTCCCATTCTCTGCCCTATAAGTTTGCTTTTTCTCCACTATAGTCTTGTGCCTACATGGAAGCTGGCACTTGTGTCATTGCCTCAGTGCTCCTCATGGCAGTGATGAATGAAATCGGCAAATCTAGGGATGCGGCATTATGGGCGGGGAGGGTATTTACGATTTAGGAGTTCGTTGTTGTTTATGTTATAATGACTGGAAATTGATGCTAATGATAATTTTTAAATGATATCTTAAAACTGGTTAGAAATGATTTAATGACAGTACAACAACAACAGCTACGTGTAGAAAAAGTGATCTCTCCTTGTTTTGACTTCAGGGCTTTGGACGTGGCCAGTCTCTACAATTACTCTGTGGAGTTTACTGGTGTGGGGGAGCCACCTGCTGGAGCTGAGGATGTTGGGTACTGTACTCAGATAGGGATCTTCAGGAAAAACCTAACAAAGGCAGCTGAGCTGTGTGTTCCCGAGCAGCATAGTGAACATGTTTATAAAGTTGTGAGTATTTTTACATTGGTTAAGATGGTGAACTGTTTCTTACCAATATATAGATCAATGTAAATGGGTTTTTTTTTTTGAGATTGACCAAGGACAAATCCTTCATTCCCAGACTGCTGTCAGCAGTTAGTCTTTTTATTGTGATTTGGGTAAAAGCTTACAGCACAAACTGGTTTTCCATTGAACAGTTCCTACACAGCTTGCTGTACGATAATGACTGCAACCCCCACAGTGTAACAGCGCTCTTCCCACTTCCTTTTCCATGTCCCATTTCCCTTCATCCATTTCCCGTATCTCTTCCTGCCTTTTGAGCTGTATCCATACGGGGCAGATGCTCCCCTTCTCATGTTCCATGGTTGGTTGTTCCGTGGTTGATTGTTTCCTGGAGTGTGTAGTTCTCTGGTGTTACCATTCTTCTTATAGACCTCTCCATCATCTGGCTGAAACTCGAGCCACAGAGATTGCAGTTGATCATACCACAACCCTTTAGACTACCCAGCCCTTTGCCATGTCTCAGCGAATACAAGGAGCCTTCAAAACATTAATGGAAAAATGGAATTAAGTTAAAAATTTTAAGAAACTGAACTTTTTCTCAACATAAGTCTCCCTCAAGTTCAAGACACTTTTGTCAGTGATGATACCAGCCATTTAGTTCATCCCCAAAGCACTGAGAGCCCTGGGAATTTAACCGTGTCAATGTAGTCTTTTCACACTGTTAACTGAAAACATGGCTGTCCTTTAAAGAACCTTAAGATGAGGAAACAAGTCATAAGGAGCTAAATCAGGGTTGTAAGGTGGATGCTTGATGATTTCGCCCCCAAATTGCACCAAATTGCCTTTGTTTGGTGAGAGGAATGAGTTGGAATATGGTCATGGTGGAGGAGGACTCTCCGGTGAAGCTGTCCTTGGCATTTTTTGACTTTTAGCTCCCTTTCTCAAAATATGCTCATATTAAGCAGATGTTACTGTTCTTTGTTCTAGAAAGTCAACAAGCAGATGCCTTGAGCATCCCCAAATTAGTTTCCATGACCTTTGGGCTTGACCAGTCTGCCTTTGCTTTGACTAGACTGCTCACACCTCCTGATAGTCAATGCTATAATTGTGCTTTGTCTTCAGATGAAACGTAAAGCCACGTTTCATCTCCTGTTACTGTTCTTCTGAGAACTGCTATGGGATCTTGATCCCGCTTGTTTTAAAGTTCCATAGAAAACTCAACTCTTGTCTGCTGCTAATCTGGATGTAGTGGTGTTTGCTCACCTTTAGTTTTTCAGTCAGAATTGTGTAACTTGAGCCAGTTGAGATGCTTATGGTGTCAAGTATTGTTTCTACTGTTTACTTGTAAGGCCTGTTCAATGAGAGCATGAACAAGATTGTTTCCTCACAAATTCATGTGGGTGGTCTGCTGCTGCAGGCTTCACCTTCAGCATTGCTTGTCCCTTTTTATAACGAATTACTCATTTGTAAACTGCTGGTTTCTTTCTATGTCCCCATAAACTTTTCTTTTAAGCATCGATGATTTCACCACTCATCCACCTAACTAACCTTCACCATAAATTTGATGTTCTTACTTTAATTCTAGCAGAATTCGTATTGTTCTGATAAGGAGCTGTTTTCAAATAGGTGTTTTATCTTTCTTCATACCTCAAAGTAGATCCTGTTCAGACATGTTATATATAACAAGTTAGTCTGAGTTTATTTTGTGCCAAAGAAAAAAAAAACAGAAATCCATGCATAGATTTTTCATAAGATGCATTTTCCCATGATTTTTTTGAAGTCCCCTCTTAGTACAGAGAATTATCTCCTCCTGGAGTCTTCTTAGAAGACCTCCAAGCTGGTTTGTGCCAGCAGCTTCCCTTATTGCCGTCTGTTAGAATTATCAGCAGGAAAGAGGAAAGCCAGCAGCGGTTCCTCTCCAGCCTGGCTCAGGAAATGACTGTTCAGAATTGAGCTTCCATGCTTTTCAGACCGTTTTGTTTTAGAGATGTGGGCTGAAGAAGAAACACCATTTCTTCTTGTAATGAATGGGACATTTTCTTTCTAACCTTCACTAACATCAAGTAGTGAAGGTTAAAGAGAAAATCAGAATTTTTGAAAGGAAATCAATCAGATAGTGTCTGTATCAGTTGTTTGACTCACATTAAAATTGGTGGCTTTTAAGTTTAGTATCATTTGATGTGGATTCAGTAGGTTCATAGAGTCCTTATATGGCAATTAAAAAAAAAATGACTATTTGGTTTTGAAATTTTCTAAAGCTTTTTGTTTTTTGCCCTTAAGGTTTATACCACCACATACCCAAGTCTGCAGCAAAAAAAGTACCGCCAGTATGCAGTGGTGAGTGAAGTGATTTCCCAGGTCTATAGCATGAGGAGGGATCTTCTGGAAAGTCTGAAGCTGCAGGATGACGGGGACTTTGAGGATTTGCCGGAAGACACTGGCACCACAGAGGTCCCCTATCAGTACTTGCAGCCGGTCCTCACCCAGTTCAGTACCAACCTGGAGAAGACTCCCAAGCCGTTCTGCATTGGAAATGTGTTTTATGTGCCTTTGGAAAGACTCTTTTCATTGCCCAAAGTGAAACATTTATGTATTAACATAGAGATGCTGAAAACTCTGATTGCAGACACGGTGATGCTGAACAGCGATGGTTCTGCAGTGATGATTGACATACATGAGGAAGACAACGATGACTGAGCACCCTTGTTTCCTGAAATCCAGGGTCTTAGCAATAGTTGGACTAACTCAGCATTGAAATGTCATTTTTTTGGTGTGTGTAGTCACGATTCAGGTGTGATTTTCTTTTTTTGATGTGCAGAGCTTTGCTAAACAGGGCCGTCTTTCAGGCCACTGGACAGATGTGTTTAATTCACAGCCAGACTGCTTGCTGTGAACCTAAAAAAATAATAATAAGGCTGAACCCAGAATGGTGTGCTTTCCTTTGAAATTAAAATTTTTCTTTGATATTTTCTCAAGAATGAAGAAATAGTGGATGTGGTAATACTTTATTTTTTTGTATATGTATGTTTTTGAGGAGATGAGGTTTAGGGAGTTAGTTCATAATGTTTTTGTTCATGGATTGAAGTTTTGTGTGTTTACTCAGGCTTAGTGTGACATTAAATATTTGAGAGAAAATTGATTATCAAATGCAGTGTTTTGTAACCTTTTTGTAGGAGTTAAGAGTAGCTTTGAAATTGATTTAAAAGGGTTCTTTATTTCCTTTGGGTTCAATTCTCACCTCTCTGCTACCTAGCCTAAAACCACATATAGAACAAAAGCATGGGTTTTTGAATGAAGGGCATACAAGTTAAGTGACCTCATGAGAATGATAATAACTACTGTCTACTTTTTTGGAGCACCCTGTTCTCCAGGGGTAGGGGTGGTAATAGCCACAGGGGAGAGAGACTAAAGCTTCAGCCAACAGATGGGAAAACAAATGGTGGTTCTTTCTGAGGCAGAGGAGTCCACAGGTAAGCTCAACCATATGCCCATCTTGCTTTTCTACCATAGTTAGCATACCATCTCAGGGACAAAGATGGAGGTGTGTATTCTGTAACCTGATCAGCAGAGAGGAGAAAGATTAAAAAAAGAAAAGGGGGTATGTTGACCTGGAGCTGAAGAGAGAGAAGAGGAAGGGCTGGTCCAAAATGTGGTGAGCCCATGGACAAGGACATAGCCACGGAGGGCTAGAGCTGAGAGTGAACCATCCAGTGGATATGAAATGAGGGGGGAGACACACAAGAACGGTGCAGACAGTACCTATTTGACCTAGCCTCAATGGCTTGATAATCAGAACTCGACTAGAGAAAGATAAAAAAAGAAAACAATTTTTGATAAAGGAAACGAGGGTAAATTGCTACAATTTGATGAACTTGACCTATGCTTAATGCATGTAGTAACTCAAAATACCAACAGAGAGGCAAGGAGTCTTCACATCAAGTATCAATGCTATCCCCTCTGTACCCAGGGTAGTTAGGGATGGGCAACTTAGACATTGGCTACCTAAAATGAGGGGGTGATAAAGGCATGAAGTTGACTGGCGTACAAATTTTCAAGAGGAAGTTTAAGAGTGTGCGTGGGGAGAGAGTCCTTACTTGAATAGTTTTCATCTTGTCTAGATGGGTCTGGTGAAAGAGATGGGGACAAGATTCTTAATGATTCCATAGTGATTGTCACAATTGGAAAGGTAGAAGTTTCGTAACAAAAACGGGAGTAGTTAATCCTACAGTCCAGAAACAGAGGACCCCTAGGACCATCAAGCGAGAAGAGCACAAGCAGAATGCCCGTCCCTATCCAGAGAAGCAGCTACACCAGAGATGGAGGCAGAGATAAGGACTCTGAACTCATGGAAAGAGAGGGACTGGGTGTTGGTGGCCAGGAGGCAGGCTTGCAGAATATGCCTTTTGGTTGTTTAAATTAGTATACCTGAGTTTTTGTGTATATCCGCCCCCCCCCAAAAAACAAAACAAAACAAAAAAAAAACCCAGAGGGAATGGAAGCAAATAACTATGGAATGATGATGCATGGAGGAGATTATAATCATTGTAATGAAATGGTGGTGTAAAGCCGATGTTCTCCCATATAAATTATCATTCAGTTTACAATAATGGAAAAGGGGGTAGTTATGGAACAGTGTGTGTGTGCTGGCTGGTTGGTGAAAACACTGCCTGAAAGTTGCTACACAGCATGGCTGCTTCCTTCTAGTTGACCCTAATGAAGTCTCATGACTATGCATAGCTGCAAGGTAGATTCAAGTGTAGTCCTTACACAGAGGAGAATTAAAAAGCGGCTGATTGTGTTTGCCACAACAGGAATAAACATGAACCTGCGACAGTACTGAATTGGTCCCTCAAAGGCTTGCTGGGACCTAACAAGCTGAGGTTTTTTGTCTTTTGGCTTTTTTTGCATGTGTGAATTGAGTAAAAGCTTACTGTGCAAATCAGCAGTTTTACATTCAACAAATGATATACTTTGCTTCATTACAGTGATTGCAATGCCCTCCATGTGCCATCAGCAGTATTTACTTTATTCACTTTTAACTACTGCATTCAACCTGTGTATTCCACCACCTTCATCTCTCCTCTGCTAACCTCTTGTATATTCCCTGCCGTCACCCATGTTAACATGTGTCTACCCTCTAGCCCATGAATTATTTTCTCTCCTCCCCAACCCCGAAACCATCATAGATTTCTTTTTTTACTGTTTCATTGTGAATTATGTGATAGTTTACATGGGAGAACATTAGCTTTACATTCATCCTGTTGTTGTTAAGTGCCATCGAGTTGGTTCTGACCCATAGCGACCCTGTACAGGGTTTCCGAGGCTGTAAATCTGTACAGGAGCAGAAAGCCTCATCTTTCTCCTGCGGAGCAGCTGGTAGTTTCGAACTGTTGACCTTGCGGTTCACAGCCCGATTCGTAACCATTATGCTACCAGCTCCTATCCTATCATATATCATTTCGTTGCTGTGGTTACAATCCCGTCCATGCATCATCACCCAGCCAAAGGGTATACCCTGCAAGCTTGCTCCCTAGTCGTCAGCACACAGCCCCTCTTCTCTGGGTCTAAAGTCCCCAGCTGCTCCATCTCTCCACGTCATCATCTCTTCCTACATGTCCAGCATCACTCCTCCTGGTAGGGTCATGCTCTGTGCTCTTCTCCCTTGATGGTCCCATGGACTTAACTCTTAGACTGCAAAGTCAATCACTCCCCTCCTTTTGCTACAAAAAGTCAACCTATACATTTCTAACCCTCACAATCAGTCCTGATAACAATTATTCACCAGAGACCTATCCGCATTTCCTTTCATGAGCCCTGCCCAGACATAATGGAATACTACTCAGTAGATATAGGCTCCCTCTTGAAAGTTTTAAGCTATTCACTTCTTGGATTTGTAGCCTCCCCCCTCCCCCAATTCTGGGTAGCCAATGTCCAAGTTGCCCATCCCTGTCTACTCTTGTGTATGGAGGCAGCAGCCCTCTACCCAAATGGGTCCCTTGAAGAGTATGGGATAGAGAAATCGCTTCTAAACTGCCTTCCTTAGTGGTTGAATAAGGCGGGGTCCAGTTCACTAGGTCAGGCTATACTTTTACTACTAGGTGCCCAGGAGCCGTAATAAGACAATTCTACAATCAAAAGCTATACTTCACATAAAAGCAGCCATTCATTTCTTTGTATATTCACATATGGCCTGGTTAGAATTCTGCTTTCACTTTTTTTTTTTTTACCTAAAACTCATCTGTATTCATTTTTCCTTAGCATGGCTTTCATATTTATTTTTGGCAGCATAACTATATTATATTACATGTTTTTGGGATTTCAGGTTTTTTTCAGTTTCCTAAACATAAAAACTGGACAAAAAGTAAGTTTACAAACAGGCAATCTGGCACAGTGGTTAAATAATTCAAGATGATATAATAATTTAAGGATCCATTCAAGGGTTATTTTTCCATAATCTAAACTGTACATTGGCCAAGCTGTATTACAGTAAAACATCATTTGATCTGTTATTGTTAATAGGAGAATACCCATAGAGAAACCAATCAGACAGAATTATGACCTACAGGGCTTATCTTTGGGATTGAGGTCTGTGCTCCCATTTTTCAGATACAGAGGTTAACCTTTACAGAAACAGAAGGGACACTCCGAGGAAATTACTTCCTGCATACCCATGCCCCAATGTGCGCACCCAGAATAAAGCAATGGGATCTCAAAAATGAAGGCGATGGGGAGTGCAGGAGACACAGGGCCAAAGACTCCCAAGAAAAAGATTTTTGGCGGCGCTGCTAGGAGTGTTCGGGTACTGTCCTCCAGGGCTCACCTATCCAGGCAGCCAGCGGGCCTCCCAGCAAACAACATCACCCACAAAGGAGACCAAGTTCCTTTGCTAATAATAAACTTCTACTTACCGGAGAAGTTCACAAGGTACCTGAGCATGGTCGCCAGAAATGTTGCCAAACTAAAATGAGAATCTAGAGTCCTTAGCCACTCCCCATTTCCATGTCCCCATCTCTGCTGCTGTCTCTGGTGTCACTGCTTCTTCTCTGGATAAGGTTACACATTCTGCTTGTGCTCTTCTCCCTTGATGGTCCTAGGGTCCTCTGTTTCTAGACTTTAAGATTAACCACTCCCCTGTTTTTGTTAAAAAAACTTATACCTTTACAATTGTGACTCGCAATTAGTCATGATAACAATTACTATTGAATCATAAGAATCTTATCCCCATCTCTTTTCACCAGAC